CAGCCCAGTGAGAAATCACTCACACACACATATGTATATACATACACAAATATATACATATATGCATGCATAGATATAAACATATAGATATAAACACATGTTTGTGGGAAAATTCCATTATCTTTTAACTCTGTTTTTTCACAGATTTTGGTTGTTGTTTTCTGGTACTTTTTCTCCCCAACAGTTTTATTGGCTTATAATTCACATTTCTTACAATTCAATAATTTAAGCAAATCAAGAAGAGTTGTACAATAATCACCACAATCAATTTTACAGGATTTTCTTCATTCTTGTACTTACCATTATAAGCTCACTATTTCCCCCAACACCCCTGCCTCACCCCTAAACCAACATGAAAGCAAACTCACTGTCGCTGAGTCTGTGCTGACTCATAGTGACTCTATAGGATAGGATAGCACTGCCCCCATGGGTTCCTGAGACTTCTTATAGGAGTAAAAAGCCCTGTCTTTTTCCTACAGAGAAGTTAGTGGTTTAGAATTTCCAGCTTGTATGGATAGCAGACCAGTGCATAAGGACTACACCACCAGGCCTCCATCCCCAAGCTGTTAATCCAGTTACTGTTTCTATAGATTTACCTAGCCTGGATGTCATATATAAAACACATTAATTATAAAAACAAAACCAACAATAGCCAGCCAAGTAAAACAGATAAAAACCTCAATTAAAAAACCCAGAAACTATTATAAACTAGAACAAATTTAAATGGATTATAAGGGAGATCAAATGACAGGGTGCTAAATTTTAACCTAACTGCATCTGCAACAATCTACTTTCTAATGCATTATGCATGATAGCAAGGCTATTGACATCCCTGGTCCATGGAAAACGGGGATTTACCAGGGGCTTATCCCACATGTATTTCCCCTTCACTTTTTAAAACAATGGGAACAGCTTTAAAATGAGTCAAAAGGGAGATCAGGTGATAAGATCTTACATTTTAACTTACGTATGCCTGCTATCATTGACTTTATAATGCTCTGTCTGGTAACAAGGCTATTCACGTCCCTACACTATGGTCAGAGAGGATTTACCAGATGCTTGATCCATATGTAGACCCTGCAAATGGATTTCGGGCTTCCACTATCACCCAGTCTTCTGCAAACCAGATGCTCACAGTTTAAGCTCTGATGCCATTCCCTCCTTTAGATTTTGATTCTATGATTTACAATCCTTGGATCATACAGGCTGGTGTGCCTTTTCCATGTGGACTTAGTTGATGCCCCACTTATATGGCTGCTTGCTTGAAACCAAGCCTTTAAGCTCCCTTATACTATTCTTTCTGATAGTTGGGCACCATCTAGTTTCTTCACCACACTTTGCTATTGCACCTTTATCTTCAGTGATCTCTTCATGAAGGTGAGCATAAAGCAGGGCCATGTCATAAGAATTAATTGTTCTTAGATTAGGGCTAGAATTAAGGGCAAGACTGGAATTCATTCATGTATTTGTGATTTATATGTCTATGATTCTCACTAAAGACACCATTGTCATTTTATGTTAGAGAACATTATCAATCAATCCCTGGGATATCACTTCTACTGCCATTAAATCAATGCTGACTCATAGTGACCGTATAGGGCAGGGTAGAACTGGCCCTCCTCACAGATTTTTAAAATCCCCTCATATGAGCTATGAACTCATGAGTTCATTATCATAAAATTAATTGTATTTTTAATTATTACAATTACAATTAAATTTTTATAATTAAATCATCAAATGATTAATTGAATTAATTATATTATCACAAATTAAATTATTAAATTATTATAAAATTCATATTTTGAGGACCAACGTCATCAAAGTTTCAGAAACAATTGTACTTTGCTCTCTAGTTTAGAACAATGAAAAATGAGATGTATGCCAACTTTAATGTTCAATTGGCAGCTTGCAGTTAATAAAGTTAAGGACCTTCAGCAACCTCAGGTAAAAAATTAACTGGCTAGGGGCTGCACTCATACTCATTTACGTGGAAGGAGGATTCTGCCTTTAGAGGGTACAGTGGAACCATTAACAGAGACAACCCATGCACTCATTCCCCTTTACTCTGGCCATTCTTGTTTTAAATGCTAACCATTCAGGTCTTGAGCCTCTTAATGGACAGTGAATGCTTATTCTTGCACCCATTTCTTTATGCTGGGGCTTTCTTTGGCTTCAAGGGGCAATTGCAAGTGTGCTTTGTGTGTAAGGCAACAGGCGAGATAGGAAGCTAGCTTCCAGTGAGTGGTCCATCTCAAACCACCCCAGTCTCCACAGCACAGAGTTCACAAGCCAGCAAACACAAACACAGTAGGGGATACCCAACATTGGCTGTTCCTTCTTAACCTTTTCTCTTGTTGTTAAGTGCTCTCAAATAGATTCCAAATCAGAGATCCCACATGTTTCAGAATAAAAATGTGTACCATAAGTCTCTCTTGGCTCACCAGTCTTTTCTATAGCGGTGCCACAGGGTGGGTTCAAACTGCCTACTTTAGGTTAGTAGCGGAGAGAAAGCTGTTTGCCCCACCCAAAGACCACAGATGTTGCCATAACATTTGGAACACCAAGCTGAAATTTCCTAAACAGGTGTGTTAATGGCACAAACACCCGTAAGCTTCTGGTACAGTGCTTACGTGCTCAACGACTAACCAAACAGGTCAGAGGTTGGAATCCACTAGCTGCTCCGAGGGAAAAAGAAGAGGCAATCTGCTTCTCAAAGACTTGCAGTCTCAGGAGCCCTATGGAGTAGCTCTATTCTGTCCTATGGGACCACTATGATTTGGGGTCAGCTCAACAGTGGTTTGGGCTTTGAATGTTTGGTCCGTTTTCTGCCCCAGCCTCTATGTGCTGCTCTTGAGTACCGGATAATAATTGATTTCTATCACTGGCTGGCATCATTAGGAAAGGGACAGAAACAGTCCTGCTAGCAAATCATTTGCTCTCATTCAAGTGGCGTCCTGTTTCACCATGATAAAGATTCTGCTGACAACACCGGTTGTGCAGGCAGGCTTGGGCACTAAGTGTTCCTTTATTCATCAGTCATAAATAAACAACAAATTATGCAACAAAGCCTCTCCAGTTTTGCCCGTGGGCTCGGCCAACCCAGGGAGCTCGTTCTCACACCCCAGGGAGAGAACGGACAGGCCTTGTGCTGGAAGCCCGTCAAACGGAGAAAGTAGGCCACTCGGTGCCACATGGTTCTCAGCGCAGGCTGCCACTGGACGCTCCCTGCTTTGTTCTCGTCAGGACCAGTCGCTGCCACCTCAAGTCACACTGCTAGTACCTCTGTGGATATTCGAGAGAAGTATGAGAAGCCTTGTCAGGTGGTCTGGGACAAACAGGATGGAGCTTAGAAGACATTGGCTACCATCTCATGCTGTATTTTGAAGCTCCTCTTTGCAGGCTTGAGTTCTTTGGGGACTGCAGGAATGATTCTGACCTTCCAATGGACTGGAAATATTTTCATTGTGCACTCAAATTTGCAACAGTAAGCCAACCTGGCCCAGGCTGGTTTTGTTCTCAAGGTCACTGCCTTTTCTTTCTTTCTCCCCCCCCC